TTGGCCACCACCCCCCACCCCCCCCAGAGGGTGATTTCTCACTTTACCCTCCTCTCTCTCAGATGAGTACATGCACCTTATGGCAAAAAACATTAAAAAGAGAGAGAGCAAGAGAGAAAGAAATTGAGTCCCAAGAAAGGTAATGATCTCCTTGTTCAGACGGGAAGACTGAGGCCACAGAGGGGAGATGGCCGGCGGAATCAGGGCCCAGAGCCAGACTCCAGCCATCGGGCGAGTGCTGCTCTGCCGTATTCACTCACGCAGACACAAGGCCGCTCCTCCTCCCTGGCCGCCCCTACCCCAAGCCCTCCCAGCGGGACCCAGAGCCTGGCTGGGAACTAGGCCAGGCCCTGAGCAGGGGGTGGTGAGTGGGAGTTTCGGTCAGAGCTCGGTCATCTTTGATGTTGTCCACTCGGGTCTGACTCCTTGGTATTTATTTGCAGTTAAAGAGCTGGCTCCTAATTAGGCCGATGGCTGTGGGAGATGGCGGGGCTGCAGCCTTGGAGCCACCAGGAGAAAAAGATCCTCCTGAAAGAGACCGCCCCTTGCATTCTGCATGGCTGTGAGGGGCGTGGTGACTGCAGAGGGGGCTGTGCTTCTGCAGGGCGGCTGCCCACCTTCCTGCGTGGGCCATGCCGTGGGCCGTCTGAGCACGTCTCCTGCGCGTGTGGAGCGGGGCCAGGGCAGACTCACCTCTGCTCCTCCTCTCCTCCCTCTCACTCCTGGTCTCTTTGACCACAGGTAGCAGGCCAGGGGCTGCCCCGAGTGCCCTGTGTAGACGGCTTTCTAGTATGCAAAGGGCACCAGTACATGCTGGTGGCCGTTTCCATGGTGACCCTGGGCTGTGCCGCCCAGCCCTGCTCTCCCGCCCCAGCATGCCGGGCCTTTGAAGGCTGAGGAGCGCGCTGAACCAATCAGCAAGGCTCCTGCTGCTTTCCAGAAACCCCTCAGGGGGGACGGACTGCGAGAGCCAGGAGCGCAGCGTCCAGCCAGTCTGCTCTGCAGCTAGGGAGAGGCGTGGGCTTTCTGCAGCTTGTCTTGCCACCCGTCCAGGCAGTGGTGGCCGCCCAGGTCTGCCTTCCTCTGGAAACTTTGGGAGCACACAGCACGGGATGGAGTAGCATCCCCAGGGTCTCAGGTTCTGGCACAGCTCTGTCACCTGCTGCCATGTGTCCTATTGTGAGGTTACTCTAATTCCCTCCCCAGCGTCATCTTTGGAGACGGGTCATTGGGGTGTACTAGTGTTCCCATGAGGCATCTCTAGACTTGAGGACCTGTGGGTCTGTGGTGAAAGAAAGAAAAATTAGGTAGAAAATGTGAAGGCTTCCAGAAGTTCATGGGAAAGTGGGGTAGAGGCACGGGTTTATTTTGGTGCAAACACATTTTGAAATCTAGTTTTCTCACAATGTGCACCCTCCGTGAACTTTTTGACGACACCCCTCCCCTCCGTGAAGAATGCGTAGGTGTGTGGAAGCCCAGAGCCCGGGGCCATCGGGTGAGATGACGTCAGAGATCTGGGACCCGAGGCCGAGAGCGGGTGGCTCATTCCTAGGGTCAGACCTGAGGTGAGGTCCTTGCCCACCACCCTTCACCGTCCTCAAGCCCCGGCCGGCAGCCCACCTGCCGGGCAGGACTCCATGGGGATGGGGCGGGGCAATGTCCACATTCGGGGTGTATTGATTTCCTCCTTCCTTTTTTTAAAAAATTTTGTTATAAGGTAGATACACTCACCATAGAGATCTCGACAGAGAGAGAGAGAGAGACCATGAGATAGAACCCCCCCTGGGGCATGGCAGCCATGGGCTGGCCCCTCCTTCCCTTTCAGCCTTGGCAGACGCAGAGAGGCCTGAGCCCGCTCCTTCCTACTTGGAGAAAGCCGATCGGTGCAGGGGTGGGGCATAGTGCCCTGCAGCAGGGACACCTGTTCAGACGGGGAGGGGGCTGCAGTTAAAGCACCCCTGGAGGGAGGGTCAGAGGGGGCTTCCCAGAGGTGACAGTCTCAGAACTGGGGGGGACTTGGCCAGGGCCAGGCCTCAGAGGTGCTACCGAGTCTGCTCAACCGAACAGGCTGTAGGGCGTGGCTGAGGCAGGTCCATCCTCAGTCACAGGTACTGTCCCTGTGAAGGGCACTGCGCCCAGGCTGGGGTCATGGGTCTTGACGAGATCAGGAAAGAGGGGGGTTGGTTAGGGTAGAGGGCAGCTGAGAGGAAGGGATGGGAAGTCCCACCCGCCCTTGACTCGAAATGTCTTTTGGAAGCTGGAAAGAGAATGTGTCCCACCTCCCAGTCCTATTACACCCCTCCCCCTGGGGCAAAGCTGCCATCTTGTGGTGGGGGCCCCTGGGAGTCTCTCAGTGGGTGAGACAGGGAAGTGGGTCCCCCGGGGTGGGGGTATGGACTCCCCGCCTGTGTGTAAGCCCTTCTAGGACTCAGAGACCACCAGGGCAGTGTGGTTACAGAAGGGGAACCAAGGCCTAGAGAAGGGGAGACCTGCTCAGTGCACAGGGCCAGCGACGTGCTCCTGCCCAGGCTGTGGCCTGGCACAAGGGCGGGCTCTAGCCTCATGGGCGCACACTAGGCCTCTTTTCCTCACCTGGAAACTGGGTGATAACAGAGGTGCAATGAGGCCGCCGTGAAGAAAGTGCCTAGGTCGCAGAGGGCCACGGGGGTGCCTGTGCCTGTCCTGCCTCCAGCATGCTCCAGGCCGCGCTGCATTCCTTGCCCTGCAGTGCTGGCACTCCCAGGGCATCCGTGGTGGGGGGGAGGGTGCCGGTGCTGCAGTTCGGTGGCCAGACCGGCACAGAGCTCTCTCCTGGTCCGTGGGTACTGACCTGTGCCGGATGGGTGGGTGGAGAGAGCGACAGTGGCTTGGGGAGCTGGAGCTCAGACCCTGGCTGCCCTCCTGCCTGTGCCTGCAGCCTGGTCTCCTGGTGTGGGTTCGAGCCTCCTGCACGTAGGCTGCAACCACATGAGGCCCAGGGGGAGACTGAAGCAAAGCGATGCCGCTCGCAGGGTGGTGTGAGGATTTGGGTTCCGCTGGCAGACTTGGGGGCTGGGACCTCAGTGACAAGCTGAGGGCAAGGGACATGCTCTTGGGGCCTGTGCCCAGTCCAAGCTCACAGCAGGGCAGGCAGCCTGCAGAAGGCCCCACAGACAGACTGTTTCCTGTGAGGAGGCGTGTGAGAGAATGTCAGCACCCTGTCACCCTGCCTCTCGGGGGCCTCGGCAGGCTGGGATGAAGGCAGACAGAGCAGGCTGATCGGGCGTCTTCCCGACATGGTGAGAGTTGTCGCCCTGAGGTTTGGCTGGACTTTGGTCAGTTTCCCGTGGAGAAACTGAGCCATCAAGTGTCCTTTGGTTCATTGTCCTCCGGCTCCGGCAGAGTGGCTTCCTCTGTGCAGGGGCAGGTGGGGCAGTCATGTCACCCCACTGAGCAGTTGTGGGTGCCGCCTGCCTCTCACCCAGGAGCTCCAGGGAAAAACTGCATGTCAAAGGGACATGCTCTCGAATCAGAGAGCGTACATGAGAACAGAAGGCATGGGGCTGCCCAGGAAGATGGGAGCCTGGCCAGCGTTTGGTCTCAGAAAATCCTTAAGCTCCCCCTAGACTGCAAAGATGTCCCAAGTTGGGGAGGAAAGGGTGTTTTTTTGTTGTTGTGTGTTTGTTTTTTGTTCTAAGGGAGAGAGAGAGATTTGCTATAGCGTGCTTGTGCTCGACAGAGAGAGAGACAGAGACAGAAAGCAAGAAATCACCCCCTGCAGAGGGATGGCCACACCTCAATCCCTTCTCCTTCATTTTCCACTTGGGATTTTGGGCATGCATGTACACGTACCCAGCATGATTTTAAGCCACTGGGTCCGGGGCTCAGACTGTGGTCGACTATGTGGGAGTCCAGCGATGTAACCATTATGCCACCTACTGGTCCCAGAAATGGGTTTTAATAATGTCTAGGCCACCCTTTTGCTGCACAGTGGGGAAACTGAGGCCCAGAGGAAGCAGGCAAGCTCTGGAATAGTTAGGGGCCCTCTGCTCCTCTGTCACACACAGCTGGCCTCAGTTCTGGGGAAACTTGCATTTCCTGCTACAAAAGCAGGTGGCGTAGGCTATGGACGCTAAGGATACCAGGACCAGTCAGACAGCCTTTTTTACAACCAGGCTATCACCGGGGCTCAGGACTCTGTGTGGAAGAGGTCTTTGGGGCCAGGTCCCCCTGCCCCTTCCTATGCCTGAATCCCCTCTGTTAAGGTTGAGGGCTGGACTCACGGGTTCAAATTCCTAGTGGTGCCACTTACCAGCTGCTAGAGCCTTCATCCCTAGAATGAGAAGGAGACTTCCTCAGAGTGACTGGGAGATGTAGGTGTGCAGAGTAAGAAGGACCGTGCATGGCGCGAGGTCTGCTCTGGTGTGTGCGGGTGTGGGTCTGTCCCTCCTGCTAGCCTGTAACATTCTCAAAGGAAGGAGCTGGGTGTGGTTCATGTCTACATGCAGAACACACAGTAGGTGCTCTGTCATGCACTCTGTGAGTTTGTAACGTTTTTTTATTTTTAATTGCCAGAGGGCACGTGTGTTGCTGGAGAGAGAGAAAGCGCCCCCTCCCATGTGGGATGGTCACGCCACAATCTCTTTTACTCCATTTCTCCCTCCTTTTGGGATTTTGGGCACCCGTGTACTTGTACCCAGTGCGTTTTTTCCAGCTGCCAGGCCCAGAACTTGAACCTGGAGGTCTGCCATGTGGGATCCAGCTGCCTTAACCCCCATACCACCTCCTGGCCCCGATGCGGAAGCTCTGTCTTCTCCTTTCTGCGCGGTTGTCTGTGCGTATGAGAGTGAGAGAGCATGTCCCCGGTGTGTTAAATTTCTCCAGGACACCGGTGCACGCGGCCGGAGGTCACATTTCCTTGAATGCTGGAAGCCTCGCCCAGCCCCCACGGCAGGACAGCAGCGCCCACCTCCCTCCCCTCCAAACCCGAGTCACACCCCTGCTCTTTGCTTGCCCCGCAGACGCCAGCATGTCTCCGGACGCCACCAAGCCGAGCCACTGGTGCAGCGTGGCGTACTGGGAGCACCGGACGCGGGTGGGCCGCCTCTACGCGGTGTACGACCAGGCCGTCAGCATCTTCTACGACCTACCTCAGGGCAGCGGCTTCTGCCTGGGCCAGCTCAACCTGGACCAGCGCAGCGAGTCGGTGCGGCGCACGCGCAGCAAGATCGGCTTCGGCATCCTGCTCAGCAAGGAGCCCGACGGCGTGTGGGCCTACAACCGCGGCGAGCACCCCATCTTCGTCAACTCGCCCACGCTGGACGCGCCCGGCGGTCGCGCCCTGGTGGTGCGCAAGGTGCCGCCCGGCTACTCCATCAAGGTGTTCGACTTCGAAAGCTCCGGCCTGCTGCAGCACGCGCCGGAGCCCGACGCCGCCGACGGCCCCTACGACCCCAACAGCGTGCGCATCAGCTTCGCCAAGGGCTGGGGGCCCAGCTACTCCCGGCAGTTCATCACCTCCTGCCCCTGCTGGCTCGAGGTTCTGCTCAGCAACCACAGATAGCGGCGGCCGCACCCGACAGCCCCACACCCCGCGCAAACGGGGTTTTTTCGGGCCCACCGCCCCTGCCTGCCTCGAGAGACACAGCCCCACGGGCGAACCCCCAAATATCATCTACCTAGATTTAATATAAAGTTTTATATATTATATGGAAATATATATTATACTTGTAATTATGGAGTCATTTTTACAATGTAATTATTTATGTATGGTGCAATGTGTGTATGTGAACAGAACAAGAAAGATGCACTTTGGCTTATAATTCTTTCAATACAGATATATTTTCTTTCTTTTCCTCCTTCCTCTTCTTTATTTTATTTTATTTTTAAAGGAAAATGATACAACAGAGCTAGGTGGAAAAGCCTGGGTTTGGTGTATGGTTTTTGAAATATTAATACCCAAAAAACTAATACCAGTCACGCGTTGATAATAAAGAATTCACATTATAGTTTTTTTTTTTTTTAATTTTTAAAACTGTCTTCTTTTTACAAAAGGGACCATGCAGGGCTTCAGTGGGTTCCTACCCATCAGGCACCCTGAAATGTGACTAGATGAAAAATCAAGGGCAGGACTGGACGGCAGGGTGTCCCTGTAGTCCCAGCTCCTTGGAGGTTCAGGCGGGGGGGACCGTGACATAGCCAGACTCTGTGGGATTTTTTTTTTTAAGTTGCTGTTTTTAATGGGATGGAGGAAATAAATAGAAAAGGAAAAGAGGACAATTTACTAGAGAAGATTTTTCTTCTTTTCTGAATTCCTGGCAGCATTGACCTGCTTCATGTAGACATTTTGTATGTTCGTTTGTTCCGAGAGAGGGTGAGAGACACAGATACAGCATCCCCCCACAGGGTCTTGACACGATGATCCACCCCAGCTTCGGCCAGCCTGAACTGTGGGCGCTATGTGTCTGGGGTACTCAAGAAGGTCTCCAGACTCGAACCAGCAACCCTCCCATGTGGGTCAGCCTCGCAGAGCATTGAGTTGTCCTGCCCAGAGGAGGTCTGCTGTGCCGGCCCACCCCGCCCCTGCCTGTGGTGTGGCTGCTGGGCAGGGGTGGGGAGTACCTGCCCGAGCAAGCTCCCAGCTGGTGGGACTCAGGCTCTTGCATCTCTTCGTGGAGTACACATGAGCTGGAAGAGACACTATTCCTCACCCTTCTGGGAAAATGGCTGAGCTGGCGGGCCCTGGGCCCCCTTGTACGACTGCCCTGAACCCCAGGGTGAGCGAGGCCCCTCTTAGGACCTAGACAGCCTCCCCCACCATCACGCTGCTGTGTTAAGTACTCACATAAAGGCGGATGGTTTATTTCTCCTTTAGGAGAGGGAAGAAGTGTGGCTCTGGAAGGATAAATGACTAGCTTATGAGACAAAAATCAAGGGTAAAAGTCACATCTAATTGTCGGACTAGAGCCATGTCATTAAATCAGTTTTCTCCAGAATAATCTCAAAAAAGGCCTCCTTGGCCAAGTGACTGAGGGGGGGTGCTACGTTGTATATCTCCTTAGAGCTCCCTGAGCACAGGAAGTGCCCCGAGAAGACCTGTGTGTTATCTCTCACTGCGTAATTAACGCCCCCAAATTTAGCAGCTGCATTCATCATCCCCCACAGTTCCTGCAGGTCAGGGATCAAGTACGACAGCAGAGTGTCCCCCGAGGCTGTGGTCATCTGGGCTCAATTGGGCCTGGGGACCGTGCTCCAGACTCACTCATGTGGTGTTGGCAGGAGGCCTCAGTTCCCCACTCGTGGGTCTTCCCGTTGGGCTACTCCTGACAAGGCTTCCTGGGGGCGAGTGGTCTGGAAGAGCGACCAGAGTGGAGCTGCTGTCTCCAGCCATGCATCCAAGTGGCCGACCAGCACTTCTGCCACACCCTTGTTTTGCTTTCTGTGTCCCCAGACAGGATCTCCCCGTTATGACCCTCCTCAGGCTCCAGAATGGCTGGAACTAGAGACGTGGGCCACAACCCTTGGCTTTTCAGGATGGGCTGGGACTTGAACCCAGGACTCCCGTGCGGCCTTGCCTACAAACTCTGTTGATCACAGCCCAGTGCCATGTGGGAGGGACTGCCTGCGTGGTGTGATGTGAATGCCAGGAGGCAGGGATTGTGGGCACCACAGGCTCCAAGAAATGCTCCGCACTTCCCAGAGCTATTTGCCACTGGACTGTCCCCACCCCTGCTGATCCTGTCCCCACGCCAAGGCGTGTTGTTCACACCAGAGCACTCCGCACCAGGGCCTGGGCCTGAAGGTGCTCAGCAGAGGTGCCTGTCTCACTGGTGTGCCCTGAGAGCCTCCTTCTTGGTGTGTGGTCAGGGTCCTCATGGCACACACAGATGGCAAGCTGGGGGACTGGGGTGGCACAGGGAGCAGGAGCAAAGGGGTGGGGGTGGCCTAGACCAGGAAGCAGAAAAGAGGGGAGTTTTCAGACACTCGTATTCTGGGGCCAGGCCACGTGGGTTCAAATCCCAGCCCTGCTACTCCCAGAGTGGTTTCTAGGAATTTTTCACTTAAATTTTTTTTTTTTTTCCTATAAGGTGCATGTATTTGCAGAAAGAGAGAAGGAGGAGAAAGAAAGAAAGCGAGAAAACTTCCCAGGGAGGTGGGATGGTCATGCCACAATTCCCTCCACTCTCCTCTCAGGATTTTGGGCTTGCACACACACACACCCAGCATGTTTTTCAAGCTGCTGGGTCTGGGACTTGAACCTTACAGTCAGCCACGTAGGATCCAGCAGCTCCAACCACCACATCACCGGCTGGCTCCCTCTTGAAAGTCTTAGGCTTCGTGTTGGTATTTGCAAGAAGAGAATGAAACGTGTTTCTGCCTCAGAAGCGGGTGTGCATCGAATCGGGAGAATTGAGCACACCGTAGAGTGTTAGCACAGGGCGGTTGTTACTAACACAAGGCTGTGGCCACAGTGGTAAGAGGAGGAGCTGGGGTCATTCAGGAGGGAGTGGGGAGTGGGGATGGTTTCTGAGTGGGCTAGGAGATGATCAGGGCTGGGCTTTCTTCTTAAAGGCCATTGCAAGGGCTCAGGTCTGGAGGGGCATCCCAGAAGTGCCAGGTTGCAGGCATCCAGGGCTTCCCGACCCCCTGAATCCCTCCTGGCTCCCAGAGCATGCCAGTCTTGTGAGGAAGCAGCAGTCATCCCACAATGCCTGGATGTGGACGTGGTGATCATAGTCCTCCATCATAAGGAGCAAGAGGGGAACCAGCAGTTAGCGTAATGGCTATGTCGCTGGACTCCCACGTAGCCTACCGTGGTTCAAGTCCTGGACCTGGTGACTTAAACTCACACAGAGTGTGCGTGCATGTGTGCTTGAGATCCCAAGAGGAGAATGGAGGAGAAGGGATTGTGGCGTGGCCATTCCCCCAGGGGTGATTTCTCACTTTCTGTCTCTCAGGCAAGTGCACGTGCCCTATAGCAAAAACCTTTCAAAACAAAAAGCAAGAGGGACCAGGGGCTGATACGCCCATTTTATCCCGGGGATGTGCTTGCCTCAGGCCTGTACTCACGGAGTGCTGGGTGTGGTCCAGGTTTCTCGCCTTCTTCCAGAGTCTACACAGACTGAGAGGTGACATTCGTTCTCTGTCCCCCAGATTCTCTGAGGGTGCCCAGCCAGGCAGAAGACATTGGTTCTCTTTAGAGCTGAGCCTCACCGGCCACACTCGGTTGCCCTACCAATGCAGACCCTCCACCCCTTTATGCCACCACCCAGGCCTGAGCTGAGCATGGGTCCCCATGCCTCATTAGGGGACTTGGCCTGCTGCCCTGCAGGGCCCAGGCGTGGCCCACCTCTCAGTGCTGGGCAGAACAGGTCTGGCCGTTCAAATGAGGACCTTGGAGCTGAAACCAGTGCAGCGACTCCCCCGTACGAGCCCTCGCAGGTGGAGAAACTGAGGCTTCCATTAACACTCATTTGCCCAAGCCTCCCGGGGGGGGAGGGGTGACACCTGGGAGGAACAAGTCCCCTTGTCTCTGGTGCCTGCTGGGGCTGTCCTGTGTACTCTGTGACCGATCAGGGCACAGTCTGAAGTCTGAAGGGCTGAGTTCGGGGGCCCAGGACAGCAGCCTTGCAGTCATCTTGCTGTGAGCACTCTGATTACAGTCCCAGGCCTCCCCGGTCTTCGGTCTTCGGCCGCGACTTCTCTGAGATCCCTGGGTGGCCTCAGGTGTTAGGGCAGCCTCGTGGCTGCCTTTCCTGGGGGCTCCGGGCCCCTCAGCTGAAGGAGTCACCGAAGCTGGCAGAGTGTCTGGGCCGTCCTGCCCTCCTCTCCTGGTCATGGTGCTCTGCAGTACTCTGCGGTTTCCCCAGACCACCCAGGGATCTGGTGACTCAGGCTGGGACTTTCTAAACAAGTGTGGTGTAGCCCCGTCCCTGCAGACCCTGGAGGTGAGGTCAGAGGCACCTCCCCCAGCCCAAGCTCAAGGGTGCACTCCAGTGACTCAGAGAAGGGGCAGCTCCTCTGTGGGCCCCTCCTCTCCGTTCCATGCCCCACACCCCTACCTCCAGCCTCTACCCAGCCCTGGGTGTGTCTGTGGTAGGAGAGGGGAAGGACAGATCTGGGAGAAAGAGTGGCAGAGTGCGGGTGGGGACGGGTGGTGGGGCTCTTGTGTTCAGGTCTCAGGTGAGAAAACCTGAAACCCAGAGAGGGAGGTGGGGGCCGAGAGCACACAGCTCAGGCCCACTGTCTCTGGCACGTCCTGGTATGCCGCACCTCCATGAGCCACCCTCTCCTTCCCCACGGAGCTCAGAGCTCGCATCCCACACGTTGCAGGCGGCTTAAAGTCTCGAGCTGCCGCTGGCCGCTGGCCGCTGGCCGCAGCTGCCTCGTTCTGCTCCTGACTGTCGCTCAGTGACCCCGGGAGGATCCTTAGCCTCTGTCTCAGCTTCCTCATCCGTAAGTGAGCCATAACCAGTGTCCGCCTCCTGGGGTGTGGGGGGCATCAGGCATGCTCTGACCTGTTAACCAGCGTGTGTTAAGCCCGCGATAAGTGTTCACTAGCATACTGGGGAACCTGGACGGCAGCT